TCCTTTAAACGGATCTATAAGGGGCCTTTAGAGGATCTGTCGTGTTTAAGGGTTTAGGGGTTTAGGGTTTAGGACGGTGTTTAATATAGGGGCCTGAATAACTAGAATAGGGCTCCTTAAAGGGGTCTGTAGGGTTACTATAGTTAAGGCTGCTATAATTATAATAATATAGGGGCCTTAATACTCAGAGTAGTTGTTTTTTTTTTTTTTTTGGGGGGGGGGGGGGAGGGGGGGGGGGGGGCGGGGGGCGGGGCGGGGGGGGGGGGGGGGGGCATATTTTACCATGAATATCAAGGAACACCAAAATAGTATTGGTAATTATTTCGGCCCCTATATCAGGATTGCGGGCTTATGGTTGACGAGTTTGGGATTGCGGTGTTTAGGGTTCAATTCCTGAACCAAAAACCCTGCAACCCCCAAGCCCCAACCCCAAACCCTAAACCCACGGTTTAAGGTTTAGGGTTTAGGGTTTAGGGTTTAGGGTTTAGGGTTTAGGGATTCTTAAACCCTAATTAAACACCAAACTGGGAGTAGCTGCTCGCCTTGGCAAGGCGAAGTTGTTCGTTCCAACCGCCTTCCCAGATCGAAGACTAGCTCCGACCCGCCCCCTAAACCCTGAACCCTAAACCCTAACACCCCCCCCTCGACCCCTTCAAAAAGAAAGGCAAAACAAATCGGTGCAGGTTCTAAGGGGCTGGTTCGGTCTGAGAGCAAGAGCCGGTAGTTTCGGATTGATAGTCTTCGGTGTAGGGTTTATTAGGGACCAAAAAAGCATATAGGCATAAGCATTTTCAAAAGGATATCATTACCTTGTTGGGCTCCATTATAAGGGGGTTTATGTGGGATATCCCTATCCTACTTTTTGCTTACATGCTTTTGGGGGGCCCCAGTTTAGGGTCCTACGTGTCTCTGACGTTTATGCAACTAGAAGATGACCATGATGGTGATGATGGTGCTGAGCCTGATAGCGGTGATGTTGGTGGTGCTGAAGAGGGTGATGATGATGACGAAGATGATGGTGATGACCACTGCGAGAGCGGTTATGTTGGTGGGTATGGCGATAATTGTGATGATGACGGTGACTATCGCAGTTGCGGCAATGCTTGTGCGGACGGTGATGTGCGTGGCCATGACCATACTTTTCCGTCTTGATGGCTGCAATTATGCTGACGATGATGAAAGTGACCATGGTAATACTTCCTGCTGGCTGGTTAATGACAGTCAGTTGATGCTTGAGATTCTGATGTTCATGAGGGTGACTTCCCTCTTTGGCGACGGTGGCTGCGGCAATGATGACTACGGGGTCGGTTCATCACCATTATGACATTTTGTTGCCGCGCCAATTTAACCGTCATCATCATGGTCGTCGAACTGTTTTCCAACGTCGATGCTCAATAGGCAAACGGTTGAGAGCCCGAAAATTTGCAGGATCTTGAACTACCTAAACCTGATAAACCTTTGTAATCCCTCAACCCGATAAACCTCATGTCTAAACCCTAACCTAAATCCGAAAAGCCCTAAACCCAAATCCGCCCTATGAGGCCTGTCCTATTTTCGAGCTCTAAACCCAATACAGACCTCATCGCAAGTTGCGGCGCAGCCGAAAGCCTAAACCGTAGACTCTAAAGCCTAAAGCCTATGCCCCCAACCCTACACCCTCGACCCTAAACCCTAAACCCGATTAACCCTAACCCCTAAACACCAAACCCTAAACCCTAAGCCTTAAACCCTAAACCCTAAACCCCCTAGCCCTTAACCCTTATCCCTAAAACTCTAAGCCAACCTAAGCAAGGAGATGGCGAGCCACAGGGCCGAGATCGTTGCCCAACAGGTCGCCGATGCGGGGCTGCGAGCTCTTCCCTGAAGGGATCTACGGTTGATGATATAGATCCCTAGGGTTCCTTTAAAGGGATCTATAGGGGTACCTTTAAGGGCTTCCTTTAAGGGATCTTCTTTTATGGATGTACAGTAAACCCCATAAAGTTGGAAACTAGATTAAGGCCAAATAGTGCGGAGATTCCCTATACATTACTCTTAAGGATGGAGGCTCTGGGGTTTCCAACTTTTGGGCTTCTACTGTATTATGGATGTAGTCTTCCTTGAAGAGATCTCTAGGGTCTTCCGTCAAGATCTACAGATAGGACGGTTCAGGGTTTAGGGTGCAGGTAGCCTAGCCTTTTCACGCCCCAAGCTCAAAATGCTGAAGTGCTGACTGAAGCACTAGAGTTCCGCAGGTTTGCGGGGAAGAGGGCGGGGGTGAATACCGGATTGTTCCTGGATCGCCTGTCGAAACATCTCAAGTGTTGAGTACTCAGTAGCTTAGTTCAGATTGGGGCAATTAGGGTTTGGGTGGTTGTCAAAATTGGGTCCCTGATTGGTTCCTAAATACGGCACCTAATACTTAGGGTACCCAAAAAGGAGCCTTAATTTTGACAACTATCCATTTGAGGTTTAGGATTTAGGAAGGCTAGGGGCTCCCCTTTCTGGCCGTACCAGATTTGCTTATCAGCCACAGCGGTCCCAGATGGCAAGCCGCTTCTCGGAAAGTGATGCTTGCTTATCCCAAGCCATGCCGGCAACCTGTATCAATAAAGGGGCCCCATGTGATGCGAAGCTCGGTGGCGTTTGAACATGAAGTCCTACCGTTCTGCCTTTACTTCTCCGCAACCCTGGCCGGACGAAAGAGCCTGGCAAAGCCCCTAACCCCTAAAGCCTAAACCCTCAACCGCTGCCTAAACCCAAATCCCTAAACCCTCGAAGCCTAAAGCCCCAAAACCCTAAACCTCAAAGCCCTGAAAGCTTAAACCCGAAACCCCTAAACCCTTGAAGCCTTAACCCCCAAACCCCTTAAAGATCCCATATACGGTTGATGATATAAGTCCTGCATTACCCATAACAAGGAATATGCCGTAATTCCCATAGTCTAGGGACCTTAAGGTAATACAGGATTTATATCATCAACCGTAGTAGTTTAGGAGCCCTGAATAAAGGGGTTGAAAACCCGAAACCCATAACCCTTGAAGCCTTAACCCCCTCAACCCCTTGTAGATCCCCTTTCGCAGACCTTGTAAGACCCCCCTTAACTTATAGATCCCCTCAAGGAACCCAAGCCCCGGCCCAGGCGCAGCATGCGGAAGATCGGAGCCTGCGGGAACAACAGGACCGTGACCTGACTGAATGCACTTTTCGAAGTAGTCGTGTAGGTAACCTTTACCTGGACCCCAAACCGTAGAATACCTTTTATAGGTTTTGGGCTAGTAATTTACCTACTTTGAGGAGTTTAGGTAACCTTTTTTGTGTAGTACAGTCCCTATACAATCCCCATATACCCAACAAGGTTAAGCTTTGGCTCCCCATGATACCCAACAAGTAGGGTTTTCAGTGCGACAGTTATGAGGTCCGAGGATACCCAGACCTACCAAAATCCTTTGGTTGAGGAGTACAATATATATATATATATATATATATATATACACACGTTAAATCGTAGTTCCTCTAGTTTTAAAGCGTGTAATCCTTAATCAAGGGGTCTAGGGCCCTAACTGTAAGGTCCTTGGAAGCATTGGGTAAACAGGTCAAACCCGAAGCCCTTTTAACACGCTCCTGAAACCCCCTTCCAGCAGGGTTCGATCCAAGTCGCGAGCTTAGGCGAATACCAGGAGGCCTTGGAGATGGACCGATTCTTGCAATGCAAACATGCTGAGAGAGTAGGGTTTAGGGTTTAGAGTTCAGAGGGGAAGAGGCGTTTCGATGAAAGGGTTCGTAGAGGTGTTTTAGGGTGCTCACGGGTTTACGAGGTCTCCGGATATTCTTTGGGAGATCTAAACGTAAAATGTTTTATGATACCGGATACTTTTACATAGGGCTCTGCACATAGAACCATGGAATCCGGTGACCCGAAATACACACAAGCTTTGCAGGTTCCATTATGAAACCATGAAACCCGGAGATGTTGCCAGAAAAGTTGGTCCATGAGTTGCATTGTTTATCGCAGCAATGTTTTCTTTGGAAACAGGATCGTTGCAACAGAGACCCCGGAGAAAGCCTCAACGCAGTACCTCAGTACCTGGCCTCCATCTGTAAACCCTAGATCAGCTGAAACCCGCAAGAGATCTAATCGTGGCGATGTAGAGAAGATCCGTGGAAGCTTCAAAGACCCACTGTAGACCGACCAGCAGTAAATCCCTGACAGGTTTGGGATAGAGCTTACAAGCTCCGATCTCAACCCCTCCACGTTGATGTCCACGGCACAAATCTTAAGCGGTAGTTTTAACCAATATCCTAAAGCTGGCCAGTCTTGTCAGACCCAACCAGCGAGGGCAGTAAACACCAAATGCTGTAGCGCACTGCGCTGTTGGCCCAGGGCGGCGACAGGAGGAACGTGAAGCTCAGCGTCGGGACGAGGAGGAATCGCGAAAACAGGCCAAGTGGTTAGGCATTGAATCCATGAACCTGGGATCTATGAAAAGGCCGAGTACTTGGAGGATCATGGGCCTAGTAAGTATGATGATAGGTATATCTTCATCGAGGTTATAAGTACTTACAAGAACTGGCTACCCTAATCATCACCGCAGTTACCAAGTCCCATGACCCTTCAAGTAATGTAAGGGCCTTAATTGGTAACTGCCTAGACTATTTTGGGGGTTCTTCATGATAATATAAATGTGCCAAGACCCTATTCTAACTTAATTGTTAAGGCCCCTATATTGAGGTGGTTGTCTCTGAGACCCGGACTCCCTCTGCTAGGTTTTTGAGACCTGCTTTCTCGGCCATGGTGATTCCTTTCATGGCATTTCTGCGGCTTCGTGTTTTTTTAGTGGTTTGCCTGGAAGTTTGCCTTCCTCCGATTGGAAATGTCGGTGGCAGAGTTCGTTGAGATCCAGAGTATCATGTATGACCATCAGTGGTGAGTGTGCTTCTCTCCCCTTTGATGTGAACCATGTCGTTCAAGGTTCGGGCGGGAAATTGGCTGCTGCGTCTGCGCAGCCGTTCGTTCCGGTTCAAAGCTCCGCGGCTTCTTGATGTTGTGTACAGTCGAAGCATGGATACCCAGGATGGAGCACCCCAGCGGATGCCTTGGGAAAGTAGCGCTCCCTCGGCGGGCTCAGCGGAAACATCAAAGTCGACCCAGCCGCTCCCCTGGGAGATGGGAGCTCCGACTGCCCCTGCCCCGGAAACCCCAGCCGAAGCTGCGAAACAGAAGATGCCCTGGGAAACGCATCAAGCTCCCCAAGCAGATCTGCCAGCAGAGCCAGCGCCGTCGCCTCAGACCGAAAAGAAAAGGATGCCATGGGAAACTGAGCCAGGGCAGGCCAAATCTCCAGTGACCTCCGCACCCAAGACAGAGGCCAAGGCAAGAATGCCCTGGGAAGCCAGGGATGGAAAAAGCACGATTTTCGGAGTTTCCTCTGTGTGCCAAAAGCTTCGGTATGACTTGTCTTGAAGCTTCAGGAGGCCATATCTGGCTTGCCATATGTATATGTAATTATGTGTATATGTATATATATATATATATATATACATATATATATATTAATATATTACTCGATGTCCTATTTATGGATGTTTGATATCTGATATCCCAGACGTGAACGGCCCCCTAATCAAACCCAAATCTTCAAAAATAGCACTGTAAGCCCTTTCGGCGCGGTGTTTAGCAGAAAAACTATAAACCAGTATGAGTTGTTTAATAGACTTGCCCGGGCAAGTTGAACCGAGGAGACGGAGCCGGGCGTGGCCAAGGCGACGGCAGCTCCCAAGGCTCCAGTGGAGTCAGCGAAGCAGCGGATGCCTTGGGAGGTGGAGGTTTATAAATTAAGGTAAAAGCCAGAAAGTTGGAATATGATTATCCTAACCCTTCTATGGTAAATTATAGGGTATCCTACCATGAAACCATATTCTAACTTTCTGGAGTTCCCTGTAGGGTTGTAGGGTTTAGGGTTTTAGGGTTTAGGGTTTGGGGTTTATAAATTAGGGTTGTAGGGTTTAGGGTTTAGGGGGTTTAGGGTTTGGGGTTTATAATTTAGGGTAGTTGGGTTGGTTTTGGGTTTTAGGGTTTAGGGTTTAGGGTTAATTATAGTGAACCCCAGAAACTTGGAACATAGGTTTAGGGTGAGTAGTGCTGGGATTCCCTCTACCCTACCTTAGGGCATGAGGGCAAGGATGTTCCAACTTTCTGGCTTCTGCTGCAGGGTTTCAGGGTTCGAGGGTTTAGGATTCAGGGTTTAGGGTTTAAGGGTCTAGGGTTGGGTTTAGGGTTCTGGTTTAAGGATATTTAAGCTTGGTTTGAGTCATTAAGGTTTTGGGTTCAGGGATTAGGGTTCGAAGTCTATCGTTGATCGTTTAGGGTCCAGGGTTCAGGGGGCCTTTCTGAAAGTGGGTGGACCTCCTGTGAAGGGTGCTTGCAACAGGGATCCCTAAACCCTAAACCCCAAGCCCCTAAACCCTAAACCCCAAACCCCAAACTCTAAACCCCAAACCCCTAAACCCTAAACCCCAAAACCTTAAACCCCAAACCCCTAACCCTAAACCCCAAACCCCTAAACCCTAAACCTCTCAGGTGGAACCTGGTGTGTCCAAAGCATCTCCCGCTCCTGCTCCCGCATCGCCGCAGAAGCAGCGAATGCCATGGGAGGTGGAGGTTTATAACTCAGGGTTGTTGGGTTGTAGGGTTTGGGGGTTTAGGTCTTTAGGGTTTGGGGTTTGGGGTTTATAATTTAAGGTAGTTGGGTTGGTTTGGGGTTTAGGGTTTAGGCTTAATTACAGTGCACCCCAGAAAGTTTTGGAACGTAGATTTCGGGAGGCCGAGCCTGGGGTGGCCAAAAGTGTCCCAACAGCCGCAACGAGGTGGCACTTTGGGATTTAGGCTTGAGGATTTCCTTTATAGTCCGATAATGTCCTATATAGTATAGAATTTTCTTTATTGCTATAGTGTCCTATATAGACTGCTAGAGATACCTATTCATAAATGCTTTTGGGGGCCCCAAATCTCTACAACCCAGGCACAGGCTGAACCTGCGAAGCAGCGGATGCCTTGGGAGACGCAGCCCGGGGTTGCCAAAGCAACCACGGCGGCTACGAAGAGTGAGCCCTCCCAAGCGCGGATGCCGTGGGAGACCGAGGCTGGCATACCTTTAGGGTTTAGGGTTTAGGGTTTCCTAAACCCCTTAATTAAGGAATATGGCTTAGATTATATAGGGCTTCATATTATGATTTAAGCTATATTCCTTGCTTAAGGGAGACCGAGGCTGGCATAGCCAAGGCTGGCTCTCTGCCGAAGGCACCGCCTGCGAAGCAACGCATGCCTTGGGAAGCGGCGCCAGCACCACAGCCAGCGCCAGCCGGAGCAGGAGGTGGTAGTACAGCAGCCTCCAAAGCTGCGACTGCAGCGAGTGGCCCTGGGGGCCCGGGCCCAGGAGCCTCGGGTAAGTGGGTTCTGCTTCCGGATGCTCGCGCGGCGGATAACCTTCTGGCGACAGGCGCAGCAATTGACAGCCGCCCGGTGACTGGGTTCTTGTTAAGGAATTCAGTTTAAGTTATCACAATAAGGAAACCATATTATTTGCTATAGGTCCTTATTATGGTAACTTCCTAAACCCCACAAAGTAGGTAAAAGGATAGCCCAAAACCCTATAAAATGCCATTACTCTGCATACTTTTAGGATCCACGTTAAACTAAACCCTAGAGGACTCATATATTAAGGCGTTTGGGCCCAAAGACCATACTATAGAAGGCTTTTGGGCTGTTTTGCTCCGCAGGGAAATTTCAGAACCAGAACCCAGGTGAACGGCCCGCCGGCCCCAGGTGGGTCAGCCGGTGCTGGCTCCTTTGTGCGACAAGTCCAAGCAAAGGGCAGCGGCGATCCGAAAGTGCTGAGGTTCGAAGACTTGGATTGGGATGGATCTGGCACCATCAGTAAGGAAGATCTGATGAATGTGCTTTTGGCCTATCAGACGCAGCAGGTCACGATTGAGATGCCCAATGTGCAGATGGAAGTGGCAAAAGCCAAGGCCCATGGTGCACAAATCTGGGGTGAAGGTGCCGGGCCGGCTGTACTGACCAAAGGCAAAGCGAAAGCCAAAGGCAAGGGCAAGGGAAAAGGCAAGAACAAAGGGCCTTTCAAAGGCAAGGGCAAAGGTCCCGCACCACCTGTTGCTCGGATCTTGTTAAGGAGCTGAGTTGTAGTTAAGTTATATACTATAACAAGAAGACCATATACATAGGTGTGTATATATATATACACATGTATATACACATATGTATATACACACAAATACACACAAACTATAAGCATATTATATACGTGGGTATGTATGCATGTATGTCTATATATATATATATATATGTGTGTGTGTATGCATGCATGCATGCATGCATGCATGCATTTGTGTATGTATGTATGTATGCATGTATGCGTATGTATCGAAAAGGTACATATCAATATCCTATGGTGGCAACTTACAAGTGAGACTGTGCACAAGAGTCAGCTCAGGTCGTAGCTCCAGTCGTCGAGGAGAAGCCTGAACCCGAGACTGGGTTCCTGTTAAAGAAGTTTAATTGATAATAAGGAAACCCTTCTATTTGCATCAAAGCTGCCATAATTTAAGTTACCATAGTAAGGAAACCTCATCATTTGCTATAGATCCATAGTATGGTAACTTAAGCTAAATCTCCTAACAAGAACCCAGGAGAAGCCCGCCAGCTCCCAGCATCTTGGCTCGTGCTCTTTTTTTGCGCAGAGCCCCAAGCTAAAGGTTAGGGCTTGGCAGTGTTTGTGTTTTCTCCATTTTCAGACAGTACTCAGCACCCTAAAGGCTTATAGTCCTTAGGTGTTTCTTTTTCTAGTGCGCTAGGTTAAGTTTAGGGTTTAGGGCGCAGGGTCCATGTGCCCATAACGTCGATACTTTCGCCCTAGGGTGCCGAATAGGGGCTATAGTAAGGCCAAAGTATGTACGATACGAGTACATGGATCCTTACGGGCATGCTTAAGATGAGACCTGAAAGCCTTAGACTGCAAACTTACTAGTGAACGTGTCTTGGCTCTTTCTTATGCTGACTTACCATTAGCTTAAACAAACTCCTTGACAAGAGCCCAGGCATATCTTCGGAACATGTGTCCATTGCTACAAGACGCTCACCGACGACTCCACCTTCTGTCGACACTGCGGAATGCGGCGAGTGAAAGCTGCCATGGAATGGGATGCTTCAGGCGGCCCAAACCTTTTCGAGTTTGGGGGCGTAGGAACAAAGAGTCTACGAAATCGAGGACTTAGGAAGTCGCAGCAGAAGTCACCGGAAGAAACACTTACGGTAATCTGCAGCTGCTCCCTGGGGGTTCAAAAATAGCCCAAAAGCCTTATGTAGAATAGTCTTTGGGCCCAAAAGCCTTAATAGATGAGTCCTTAGAGCCCCAGGGTTCTTTACACTTACAGCAACGGCTGCACAATCCAGGCGACGAAGCCCCGGCCGAAGTGGAAGCTCCACCTGTTGAGTTGCCGCCTGCCCCGATGCCTCCTGTCCCTGCCGGTCCAGGCCAGGGTTCAGACTTAAAGTAAGGGCCTTGTAATAATTCGAAAAGGTATTTTTTTGGGCGTGAGAGATAGTATACTATAATTATAGTAAGGAATCCCCCAAAACCCCAATATAAGGAATCCCCCAAAACCCTAATTATTCGAATTATCAGGGCCCCTACATTAAGAGGTTGCAGGGTTCCGGGTTTGGGATTTGAATGGGACAGCCTCATGGGCCGGTGGAACCAAACCTGAAGCCCTGCAAACCCTGAAGCCTACTTGGAGGATCATGGGACTTAGTATCTATGGCTCCTGCAAGGGATCCTTAAAGGGATCTAAAAGGGTTCTACAGTGGTGGGTATGGGGCTTAGCAAGTATGGCAACAAGTACCTCAAATGGGGTTATAAGTAAGTACAGGTATAGTTCCCCGATTACTAACCCCAACTACTAAGTTCCATGATCCTTAGTAGCTCACAGGTCCCACATTGATTGACTAATGTTTGGGCCGAGACCCGTTCCGGCCATCTCTTAAATTTCTTCATATTCAGTGGAACATGGGTGTATCAAATATATGCACATACAATCGCATATTCATCTCCATCTACCATCTCTCCCTCTCTCTCTTTGTCTTTGTCTCGGTCCGCATCTCTTTCTACCTCGTACCTAGCTACCTACCCACCCATCCCCTGCTGCTCCCAAAACCCTAAACCCTAAAACCCAAAACCCTAAACCCTAAAGCCAAAACCCTAAACCTTAAATCCCTAAACCCAAAACCCTAAATCCAAAACCCTAAACCCAAAACCCTAAATCCTTAACCCTAAACCCGAAAAGGTCCCAGTCCAGCAGTGCATCGGCCGCCACCTCCGAAGGCCCCCGTCAAGGCTGCGCCGGCCAAGGAGACTCGGCCTTTTGTGCGTCTGTGTGAAGGTGGGTATATGTGCATACACATGTCACATATCATTATATTCTGTATGTATACATGTACATACATATATATATATATACACACATACCGAGAGAGAGAGAGAGAGAGAGAGAGAGAGAGAGAGAGAGAGAGAGAGAGAGAGAGAGAGAGAGAGAGAGAGAGCGAGCGCGCGAGGGAGGGAGGGAGGGAGGGAGGGAGGGAAGGAGTGTGCAGGCGTTACACTGACTCGAAGAACTCACGAATGGCATTGAGCGGCCACTGTCGCAGAAAGAACAGAGCTGTTGATCCCTCATGGAACACATTGCGATGAGCAGAGGCATGGCGGTAGCCAGAAGTTGTCAGATGCAACACCAACGTCATCCAAGCATCCTACACTACCCTGAACTCAAAGCCTCTCTCAGGTAGATCTGTGTCTCGTCTTCCCTAAGACGCAGAATCTTGTTGACAGCTCACAAGCAACATAGAGGTGCACATAGTGTGTTATCATGCTGCCTGCTAACCCCCAAAATACATGTACCAGAACGTGCCTCGAAACACTGTTCCGCTGATCAACTAAGGCCCCTAAATTTGCATTAGGTTGAAGCCGCTGCATGGTTTGTGCGGCTGTGCTGCCGAGGATGGTCCTCCACCTCCCCCTCCACTGCCCAAGCCGCCGGCATCCATGGAACCTGCACCGGAACCGAAGGAGGAAGTCCAGGTCCATCTTGGGGTTTAGGGTTTTAGGGTTTAGGGTTTAAGGTTACTAGTTTTCAGCTATTTTTTTGAGGTCTGAAACGCAATGCGGCTGCTTGCTAGATGCCCAATCATAGAAAGCCCTTCACCACTGGCTCCTTGTCGCGACTGAGGTGCCTTGGAGGCTGGACAAGGCGGCAAGAGTCGGTGCGAAAGTCAAATCCTGGGTCAGGCCGAAGCCCAAGCCCAAGGAGAAGCCGCCGCCAAAGACGCCAGCAGAGCCAGCGCCCAAGCCGCTGCATCTCGCTCTCATGGGCCCAGAGGATGTCGATCTCGAGATGGAGGTCACGAGGCCCGAGTCGCTTCCAGAACTGTAGGGGCCTTAAGAATTACCGATACTATTTTGGGGGGTTCCTTAGGGTGTATTACGTTACAGTTTAATATACCCCAAAACCATAGTCTAATTATTTAAGGCCCCTATCTTACATAGACATTCCAAAACCATCCCGACGTCATGTTCATGGTGTTCCTTACTTCATGCCCCTATATCGCGCATGTTTCGGGCTTGGAACGACCGACTTGAGGTTCAGCCTTTTGATTCCCTTTAATGCTCAACCCCAAAGACACCAAGCTTCAACCTCGGCCCTAAACCCAAAGCCCGCGCCCCATTCTCTAAGCCTCACACCCTAGAAACTCCCAAAGCAAAAGCCTCAAGCCCTGGCTACTCCGCGAGTGTACGGCCACTCCTTAAACCCCTAGGACCTAGAGTAGGCCCTTATTCCCTTTTTTAGGGTTCAGGTTCCCTTATAATCCCCTTTAAACCAAAAAGGGCACCCTTTTTTTTCCTAGGTTACTCTTGGGTCTAGACCCGTACTGAACTAAACCCTGCAAACCCAAACCCTGAATATTGAGTGCCTAAGCTTGGCAGACCTAAAAGAGTCAACCCAGATGAACCCTAAACTCGAAACTTTTAAACCCTAAGTTCTAAACCCTTCAACCCCAAACCCTGAACTCTAGATGTGTCTAAGCCCAACTTAAAGAAAAAAACCTTTAATTCTATGCCCTATAATGTAGGGGCCTAACATTTTTGGGGTTCCTTACTATGATTATCGTTTTCTATACCCCCAAAACCCTATTCTAATACTTCTAAGCCCTAGTGTCCGAGTAGCTGATAATCATATACTCTCCAAATTCCTATGCTACATAACTACTATCCTAAACCCAAGTACCTTACAGTAGATTTTTCAGTCCTTGGACCCGGAGGATACTCCTGAGTTTAGGTTTGGGAGGCTTGTAAGGCTCGAAGGTTTGGCCGGGATTAATGTAGGAACTTGGTTCAGAAACATGGGGCCTTTATTAGGGTTCCTTCTATGCATCCTACTATTTAAGGGGTTAAAGGCCCAAGGTTTCTTAATCAGGTTCCTACATGAGCTACTATCCCAAAACCTTGGGCCTGTAATGGGGTTCCTTGTATGAGCTCTACTATTTTGGGGTTCAAGACCCAAGGTTGTTTTAATCAGGTTCCTACATTAGCTACTACCCTAGAAAACCGAGTATCTGAGTATTGGGTCCTTCGGACCTTCGGGGCAGGGCCCCCAAAACCCTATTCTACCTATCAAGGTCCCTATATTCTAGTACCCTTATAGATCCCTTATAGTAGCCCTTAAAGGACCCCCTTAAACAGGAACCCTATTCTACTTACTTGTGACCTTTGGGGTAAGCCCTGGCCACCCTGACAGGCCTGGAGGCTCTATAACGGTTGCGGAGCTGCGTGCCGAGATCTCGGAGGCTTCCTTTGGTTTTGGGGACTCTTAGAATTTCCATATGAGGGTTTCTATGAAGAACCTACAAAAGAGTAGGTGATGGATATCAGGGCCCATAAGAAGGACTATTGGTGTGGTGGTTTAGTGCAGGTTTTGGGGGCTCCCAGAAACTATACCCTATGCTTCCAAGGACTTATAACTAGCGCCGCAGACCCCTCAAGGCCCCAATAATAAGTCCCTGCAAGTCTAGGGCTATACCAGGGTTCATAAGAAGAACCTACCGACAAAGTAGGTTATAGTAGATTTTGGGTCGGTTTTGGGGGCTCCTAGAAATTCTACATCAGGGTTTATATCAGAAGAACTACGAAAAAGCAGGTTATGGTAGTGTTGTGTAGGTTGGGGGGCTCCTTTCTAGACATGTGCTTTCTAGTGAGGCTTGGGCTTTTTAGGGGTTCCTTCCTGGGGCTTGATAAGGGGTTTGGGCGGGGTGATGGGGTTTAGGGTCTATAGTCTAGCGGCTCGGGGTTCATGGTTTGGGATTTCAGTTGTTTCCTACATCTTCGAGAACCTGCTTTCAAGATTTTTGTTGTGTTTTAAATTTTGTCGCGTGATATGTGAGGTTGGAGATCTAAGGTCTTTCTGTGCTTTTTGTGGCGTGATATGCGGTATGAGCTATAACAACCCACATAGCGGCTTCTTCATGGCGCTCAGAGCTGCGAGGGCTCAGCCGGGGAATCTACCGCAGACATGCAGACATGCTTCAGCGAGGTCAGCCGGAAACCACTTGCTTACTTACCTACTTACTTACCTATAGCTGCCTCCGAATTTCCTTCCTTACGTTAACTATGTCTATGTATCTGTACACACGTGATACCCGCTAGACCCTAAACCCTGAACCCTAAACCCTAAACCAAAGATTCAGTCAGCCTGCCTTTCAAGAGTTCCAGCACAGGAACGCGACTTGCCGCCCTCTTCGTTTCGACTGGCGCCGCGCCCATGGAAGTTGACCCGAGCCCTTAGGGTTCCTTTTAAAGGGGTCTATAACCCTGGGGATCAAAATAGCCCAAAAGCCTCATATAGTATGGTCTTCGAGCACAAAAGCCTTAATACATGAGTCCTTAGATCCCTAGGGTAAGGTATACCGGTATACCTATAAGGGGCATTATGGGGGTGGACTATAGGGGCCCTAAGTATCGGGGTCTTTCGGTCGGGGAGCTTGGATATTGCAGTTTTGTTGTGTGGCTTTTCCTTGGGAGTTTAGGGGTCTAGGCGTTATGGTTTAGGGATTATAGGGTTTAGGGTTTAGGGGTTTAGGGGTTATGGTTTAGGGATTTAGCGTTTCTTGCATATGAATTACGGGCCTTGGGGATCAGAGCAGGGTTCCTTGAATGTTGTTCCTTAATAGAGTGCCTTTAACTGTTATTATAAGGAATTCCATAGGGGTTTCCATATGTAAGGGGCCGTCATAACTCGATTTGGGGTTTCACTGTAAATCACAGTGTAAGTTATAGTTTAACTATACTAAGAAGCCTAAGACATCATATTGGGAATCGTGTAGGCCTGTACATGATGTTTCCCTGGGGGATCAAAACAGCCCAAAAGCCTTACATAGTATGGTCTTTGGGCCCAGAAGCCTTTATATATGAGTCCTTAGATGCCTAATCCCTATAGATCCCTTTAAAGGAGCCCTTATAGATCCCTTTAAAGGAGCCCTTATAGATCCCTTTAACGGAACCTTTATGAGTCCTTAGATCCTCAATTTTTTCGGGGGTTCAGGGCTCAGTCTGATGCGAACCACAGCTCTTCAGGCTGGGTTTGCAGACTAAGTTCCTGAGTAGTGCCCTTTTGCCCTTTTTAGTTTAGGGTCCCCTTATTAAACCCGAATAGTAGGAAAAAGGGTAGCCTTATTATAAAGGGGTTACTCAGAAACCTAGCAGATGCAGCTCAGGGTGTTCGGGTGTAGGTTTAGATAGAGTACTAGTAGCCAAGGTACCAAAAGAGAAGTAGCTGTACGTGTCTGTTTTGCATCATAGCTTTTTCAAAAGCGCATTGGTTACTCTGGTTACTCTAGCTAGGCTCAGAGACAACATGCTGACGACTGTTTGTCTCTATGCGTTCCCACATGGATCTCAGAGAGTCTTTCGCTCAGGTGCTCATGGAGTATCCCGGCCCTACGCGCAGGGTGCTGCAGGACAGCTACATGTGATCACAGAGCATTTATCCAGACAAGACAAATTAGCCAATTCCACTGTTTTTGTCGGTGTTGTTATGAACTTCAACATGTTTAAGAGCGGCAGTTTGTCTTGCAGCGTCAGGGTGCTGGTGGATTTGATGCCAAGGGTGAACCTGCATGATGCCGTCCAGGATGGGACCGAAGTCCTTGACACTGCGCTCTTCGAGCATGCAGACCTGATAGTGGAGCAACCGGCATCTCGGCGTGTGTCGTTCGGGTTCTGAAACCAGCCAAGGCATCTTCCATAATTTGTTTGGCTTCACCATATAATAATAAGCCGTTGCTGATAATTCGCTGCGAGGTATCTGCACACGAAGGTATCCAGAACTATGAGTGCATATAACTGAAGCCAGAACTGTCTTCAGCACAGGGACGGCTCCCATTAACTTGGTGCTCCTTGAAGCTACTCAGTCTCGTTCTAGGCATCTTGTGACCAGCAGGCAAGAGGGATCGGACATTGAATCAATCCTCGGAAGCCTTTCAAGCCGTTCGCTTATCACCTATGTGTTCCGTAGCCTGTTCTTCTGAAGCATTCGCCCCCAAGCGCCAAATCCGTAAATGAACTAAATGAACCCTAAACCCTAAACCCCTAAACCCCTAAACCCTAAACCCCTAAACCCTAAACCCCTAAACCCTAAACCCCTAAACCCTAAACCCTAAACCCCTAAACCCCAAACCCCTAAACCCCAAACCCTAAAACCCAAGACGCCAGACCCAGCAGACCCTACAAGCCCTAATCCCTACGCCCCGTAAACCCGAGCGCTGAGGTTCCCTCTTTCGGAAACTCTGCACCCGAAGTATGAATACCCCTAAACTCTAAACCCCAGAGCCAAACAAGACAAGCACCCGGAAAGAGCAGTTTCCTAATCCCGAAGACCCGGATTTCACTCGACGGATTATAATATATTAGGGGTATTGGGGGCTTAGTATAGGGGTTCTAGGGTTTAGGGTGTCGTGTTTGACGCAAGTTACCAACTCCACAAGCCCTCGAGCCGCATGGGAGACCTTCCCCTAGCCGAAGTTACCCTTGGCTTAGTCCAAAGCCCTTGAGGTCGACATCGATGTCGTGGACCCCAAGGGTCAGCGATTCGAAGTTAAGGCGCGTCGTTCCCGTTCTGCAGGGGTTGTGTGCGGGGGGATCAAAGTTAGGGGTTGGGGTTCAGAATGGAGGAGTCTGGGTGCTCCGGCTTGCGGCTTGAGGTTGAGAGCCGAAAGATCGGGATGTGGTTTTTCGGGTTCCTAAACCCCAGGCCCTCAAAGCCCCCCTAAAAACATCAACGCCCCCCCCCCCCCCCCCCCCCCAAACCCAAACCCATATAGAGCCTAAATTACAGCGGCCTAGACCCAACACCTTTTCAGGTGTAGACCCTTTAGCGTTCATATTATGGCTTTTAATAAGCAGGGTGTCCTAATAATTAACTCAAACCCTTGACGCACTAAGGCAGTGAAAGCCAGAAGCACACCCTCAAGCCCAAGGAAGCAAGCTCTGTGTGTTACTAACCACCCATATAAGCTGCTAGAATATACCAGGATGATAAGGCCATATACAGACCCCATAAGGAAAACATAGCAAGGTCACTGCCTTTGCGCCTTGAAAGTCTGAAACTCTAAACCCTACCTATAGTCTCCATTGTAGTCCTTTTTTGGTTAACCAAAATCTCTACCATAAAACTGGTTAACCAAAAAATAAAGGAACTACAATGGAGACTCTAGGTAATAAAAGCCAAGAGCCCCAACGCCCCAAGCTTTTCATCAAAGAGGCGGATCGCTCCTGGAGCACAGCACGGCTTCAAAAGGCCACTACTTGGAAGGGCAGGGGAGTTAGTAAGTAGGTTATAAGTGGAGTTATAAGTACGCTAACTGGAGTTACCCCAATTATAACCCTACTTATCAACGACTTACTAATTCCCCTGCCCCTCCAAGTAGCTGATGTTAAGACAAGGGGCTTTGAGAAGTAGAGCCGGATGTCGTTACGGGTGCGTTTGTACATGGCATCGAAACTTCAAGGGGGCTCTGAAGAATTATATATTTACGACAGCTTTCTCAGCGGAGCATGTTGGTTCGAAAGGATATAGCGTACCGTTCGGGCTGGGGTTTTGAGGGTATGTTGCAGTATACTTACCTCGGGACTATGAAGGGAGACTTTTACGAATCAGGTTCTAAATCCAGACCTTAGTTCCTTGCGTTGCTTCAGGGTAAGTATTCGTGTTTTCGCGCACTTAAGGGCGTGCAGGGGTAGGGGTTTGGGCTTCATTCCAAGCGAGCACCGGGAGTTCTACTTTCGCCATGCAGCGCCCGCTGTACTGATGATCTCTAACCCCTGGCCTTAAAGTACTCCCTACATAGGTACATCGGGCCCAAAGTATAATCTATGTGGGTACATTGACCCTTAGGCGTAGAGTAGGTGACCTTTAACCTTTTTTGGGAAGTATATATAGTCCCTGTATAATCCTTATATACCCAAAAAGGTTAACGTTTAGTTCCCGATGATACCCAACAAGTAGGTAGGGTGACACGACAGAACACTCTGAACTGTCAGGCGATTGCGGACTGCATGCGCTGCAAGATGGATGACACTCTGCCTTGTAAGTCGTTTTCTGCTCATGAACTTTGTTGTTGATGAGGTTGCCAGACTTGCGATTTCAGCTCAGAAGCTGCAAGGAAGGTGGAGTACACAGGCTTCGGTGAGAAGTTATCACCAATATCCAAGACCACGAGAGCCCAAGAAGTCCCGCCCCAACGAAATGATGCGCGTCCAACTTCGGAAGCCCCGAGGCCCCCGAAACCCGAGAGCCCAATTAGTCGCCAAGCCGTGCAAGGACAAAGAGCTCCGACTGGGCTCCACGAGACTGGGTTCTTGTTAAGGAATTTGTTTAATTATCATGATAGGGATCTATCGCAAAAAACATGGCTGCCTTATTGTGGTAACTTAAATTAAGTCCCTTAAGAAGAACCCAGGATAATCCGGGCTTCGGAGGATCCTCTGAGTGGGCTGGTGACTCCCAGCACTCGTCGTGCAGAGGCCTGTAATGTAGGAACCTGATTAAGAGACCTCGGGCCTTTATTAGGGCTCCTGATATGAAGCCTACTGTTTTGGGGTTGTAGGACCCGGGTTTCTTAATCAGGTTCCTACAGTCGGAGTCACAAGGTCTTGCATGCTGGTACTGTGCAGTACAAGACAGACAGTACATGCATCCAGGTTTTCATGCCACATATTTGCACAGGCATGCATGTGCTTGCGCAGGCGTGCATGTGCACCTGCACCGAATCACAGTGACAAGGGACGGATGCTGCGAAGACGATCCCTGTGTTTGTTGAAGACTCTTCTGGTCCGTAAGGAGGAACAACCTGAGTATAGCATAGCTTCAAGGACCTCTGCCCGGAAGGGCTCTCTAGTGAAATCTGAACAGTACGAAGGTATTTGTAATGCAAGGAATAGCCGTGGGCTCTGACGCGTCGTAACCCCGTCAGGTGACCGTGTCCTACCCCGTGAAGGTAATCATCTCAGACGATTCGGGGAGGCAGTGGGTGATTCCTGCAGATCGCTCCTGGACAATGCGGGAGGTGAGGATGCATCTCACCGAGCCTTTGTCATAGTTGGGTAACATTTTACATTTTTATGGGCACTTAACCCAGAAAGGAATGTTAAAGATACATTTTTATGGGTACTTAACCCAAAAAGGAATAAACATGTACATTTTCAAATCCTATCCCAATCATGACCTAGGAGCAGTCGGGCTACGCGCTGGAGGAGCAGACGCTGCAGCTACCAGCCCTGGGTCCCGATGGCACCCTCCCAGTCCTCGATGACCTGGAGGCGCTAGACTTGGCTTAATATAGGGGCCTTAATACTTAGAATAGGGTTTCGGGGCCCATTATACTATAACAATAATAAGGAACCCCCAAAATGGTATTGGCAATTATTTAGGTCCCTACATGAACTCCTAACCCTACAGCCTGTAAGCTCGATAGGTTCATCTTCAACCCAAAACCTAGACCCTCAAAACCATAATTAAAGCCTCTTAAATCTCCAAGCCTTAACCCCCGAAACTGCCTGAAAGGGCCTGAAACCTCTTAAGCCTAAACTTACCTTTGGTTAGTAGGGAATGGAGGAATGGGGTAGAATTATAACTACTATTACTACCATGCATCCACTCCCCACTAAGCAAAGGGAAGTAAACCAGGCGGAGCTGAGCTCTGTGGTCCCGGAGGGGCCACAGGTCCACCTACATCTTCTCATCGACTTCGGCAAGTTCATGGACCGTGAAATTCGTGAAGCACAACAGAGGCCTATGAGTGAGGAAGCTGGGCTCTTGTTGAGAAGTTGTACTTAAGCTACCAAACGAGTCATACATTATATAGGTTATACATACATATGTATATATATATATATATACAAATACAGATGTATATGCATGCACTTGTGCGTGTGTGTGTGTAAGCACTTATTTGTGTGTACATACGTATATACATATGTAGACACATGGTTGTGTGCTTTCATGTATAATGTAAGTAAGTATCACGCTTTCCTTGAATGGAGAAGTTAGCCCTGGGAGACCAAAAACGTGTACAGTGTACAATGGATAATCCCTTCTTTCACCCCTTCACCATAAACGGCGACAGTACCTCAGCAAACATACCCAGGAACCCCTCAGCTCCGAACCGCTTAAGCCCTCGTTGAACCCTAAAGCCCTGACTCTTATGCTTAACCCCCAAACCCCAAACCCTCTAAACCCAAAGCAAGAACTCAGGAAAGTGAGGAGGAATTTGCAGAGGCTGAGGAGGCGCCGGCGTTGCGTCTGCCGTTCCCATGGGAGTCGCCCAAGAAGCCGGGAAAGCGCAAGGCGAAGATACCGAACGAGGAGCTTTAGGGTTTAGGGTTTAGGGATTTAGGGGTTTAGGGGTTTAGGGGTTTAGGGGTTTAGGGTTTAGGGTTTAGGGTTTAGGGTTTAGGGTTTAGGGATTTAGGGGTTTAGGGGTTTAGGGGTTTAGGGGTTTAGGGTTTAGGGTTTAGGATGTAGGGTTTAGGGGTTTAGTAGGGGTTTGGGGCTTTTACCGAGCGAGGAGCTTCCGGTTTGCCTGAAACGTTCCAGGTTCATGATTACTTACCATGATTTCCTTACACATGTCTTTCAAGCAAGTAGGGTAATGAATTGAGGTTAAGTTAACGTAGGGCTTACCTAGTTTGGGGCTTTGCAGATGAAAAGGGTGTAGGGATTTGGGGTTTATTGTGATCTTGGGTGCATAAGGATGTGGCGTTTATCAGTGTTCAGGGACTATACGGGTTTACCTAGACCCAAAGTGTAGTCCGTGTGTTCGTTCATTCCGTTTTCTCATACCAGAACACTAACAAAATCAGGTCATTCACAAAGGTACTACATTTCAGGGCTGAGGCAATTAGGGTATGTAAAACTCCAAACCCTACCTGTGGTCGCCGTCGTAGTTGCTTTGATGAGTGCCCGCATTTCGTTGCTTATATAGGATCTTAACCCTAAGGGTCCAAGTAGTCCCTATTAGTGGTTTTTGGTACCTAATAAGGCCCTAAAGTCCTATAATAGGGAATACTTGGACCCTCTGGGTAATTATCGACACAAGAAGGAACTACGACGGAGTCCCAGGGTTGCCCTTGCCCGGACAAGCGAACCTTCAAGTACCCCAGACCCCCAAACTCTGCGCAAAACCTGTGTAGAAATGCATGAAACAGCCTGAAAAATCCTATGCCCCTGATTCCGAGCCTGAAACCCACGAGGAGATTTGGAAATATCCTCCGCACTCCCTGGATTTCACGGGACTGTTGGATCGACATCCAAGGCGGGTTTGGGTTTAGCTGGGGATTTTAGGGAGGTTTAGGGAGGTTTGGGGAGTAGGGCAGCCTGCACCCTAACTATGCCCACAAACTCTAAGCCTTAAGCCTTAAACCCCAAACTCTCAAAAAAACACTGCACCTTAAACAAAAACTCCAAAATAAAAAGCCTATAGACCCTAAGCCCCCAAACCCTAAGCCCCCCAAACTCTCTTCAGCCCAGCCGAGGCAAGTGGAATTCTCAGCCTTGCTGGCCGATCCACCCTGGAAGCCAGGGGAGCTTTGGCCATGGCGGGGGTTTAGGTTTTATCAGGCACTCCCAAACAGTCTCCGTGTGAATGGTCCCCGTACAAAGTGCGAGCTGAGGTCATCATAAAGTAGTACCAATTAAAACTTAATGTTTAGGATCCAGGAATAAAACTAGGCAAGAGCGCCTGGTACGTGACCGGCGTTTTGCGGCGCAGCTGAAACAGGCAATGTGCTAAAACCTAGGGAAAACGTGTATTATGACTAAAAAGTTGTGCTAGGAGAGGCGGAGAATCCCTGTGACAGGTCGATCGTTTTAGCGAAAAGGGTGTTGCCGCTGCAGTAAAAGCCACTTTTGCAAGCACAGCGCTGCGCAAACTTGGTCTGAGTGGACGTTAATATGGTTGACCATGGATGCTCTGCGTCAATGAGATCTGGTCTGAGTGGACGTTAACATGGTTGACCCATGGATGCTCTGCGTCAATAACATGGACCACCCATGGATGGTTTGGGCGACGTGGGTTGTAGCAAGGGCCGAACACACCGTAATTACCGGTGTGTTCGGCATATAACCCTATGGAAACATGGCTTCGATCAGAACTAGAGCTTGGGCCTGCCTGCGACACAGATCCGCAGTTCTGGGAGTTCAGGGTCGGGACTGGCCGGAATTAGCCCCTCCCACCCCCCCACCCAAGAAAAGTGAGAGGACGTACAGGACGCGCACCAGGCGCTCTCACCTAAAACTAGGGTTCAATCTGTGGGTTTAGGGTTAAAACTAGGGTTTAATGTTTACGGCTTAGGGTTGAAACTAGGGTTTAATGTATGGGATTTAGGGTTAGAACTAAGGTTTAATCTTTAGGGTTTCGGGTGCAATTTTTAATTACGGTAGGGCCAAGTAGAGCTACTTTGCCTAGTTTAGGGGTCTAGGGTTTTGGGCCTTGCACAACTGCCCGTTTGAATCCTTTATAAGCCCTACTTGTACCCCACTGCCCACATGAAAGACTCACAACAAAGAAATGACAGGGCCGCAAACCCTAAACTTCCTAAACCCCAAACCCTAAACTTCCTAAACCCAAAACCCTAAACTTCCTGATCCCTAAACCTTAAACCCTGAAACCCCAAGCCCTTAACAATAACAGAGAGAGGGAGCTGCTTAAAGGATCATGGGACTTAGTAACTAGGGTTATTATCAAGGTAACTATACTTATAATTACTTATAAGCCCAATTAAGGTACTTATAACCATACTTACTAAGTCCCATGATCCCCCTTCTAGAACCCTTACAGATCCCTTTAAGGAGCCCTATTATAGAACCCTATAGTACCCTTAAAGGGAACCCTAAACTAAGTCCCATGATCCTCCAAGTAAGCCCTTAACAATAACAGAGAGACGGTTGATGATATAAATCCTGCATTACTTTAAGGACCCTAAACTATAGATATTATGGTATATTCCCTGTTATGGGCAATGCAGGACTTTTTATCATCAACCGGAGGGAGCTAAGGAGCCGTTGTCCGAGCCGTCGCCAGAAGACGACGTGTTGGCAAAGTCCAGGGGTCCCACCAGGAGGCGGCTTAAAGAAAGACCTTTAGGCTTAGGGCTTCAGGGTTCCAAGGGTTAAGGGTTTCGGGTTAGTTTAGGGTTTGGGGTTTTAGGGTTTACTCTTCAGGGCGTTTGCTACCCAGACCTTCCAAAATCTCCTAATTCAGATATATACCTTGATTGATATCAGGGATCCTACTATACTGTAAGGTATAGCGGTACATTCCTTGATTACGGGATTTTGGAAGGTCTGGGAAGAAAAAATGGAGAGTTGGGCCTTACCGGGCTTTTATGGGGGTTGAGTGAGTTTCAGGTCTTTTGAAGGGTGAAGGTTCTCGAAAAGATGTTTTTTTTGGCTTTCAGTTAAGGGCTTTTTATGGGGTACAGGGTATTTTGCAGGGTTAAGGTTGAGGGTGTCGGGGTGTAGGGTTTAGGGCGAAGAAAAAGAGAAGCTGTAACTCATAACCACGAAAACCCCAGACCCGGGTCAGAAGTTGCGGGGTTTCGTGTTTGGAGTTGGGTTTGTTGCGCGGAGGGTTTATGGTTTTTTTGGGGGGGGGGGGGGTATGGAGCTTGAGGCAAGAATCCGGGTTGAGGCCGTGGAGACCCCCAACAAGAAGGCTTTCGTCTGCAGGGTCTTTAAGTGTAAATGCTCAAAGCTTGAAACCCTTGACACCAGGCAGGCAAGAGACAAAATAGAGCCCTACACCCAGAAACAGTGAAGCTCCTGTCCAGAGCAACCCGTCAGGTGGGGCGTCTGGGAGGAGGAGGCAGAAGAGGAGGCGGAAGAGGAGGCAGACGAGGAGGTAGAAGAGGAGGAGGGGGAGGAGTCAGAAGAAGCAGAGGAGGGGGAGGAGGAAGAGGCTATCGGCTCCGATGGTATCTCTGATGACTTGGGCAGCGAGGAGGGCCTTGCCAGGAAATCGAGCGAGGCGATGGCACAGGACGCATGGACCGGTGGTCCGGAGTCCCGCAGGGAGCGCACCAGGGATCCGCTCGAAGGGATGCTAGTGATTGATTTCGGTTGCTGTTTTCCGTTGGTGTTTTTTGGTTCAAGGGGCTTTATGACGATGATTATTAAGCATGCTAAGGGAACAGTACTGTAGATGTGCATGGTGAACCAAGAGCATCTCATTACCATTACTCTGTAAATACAGCTCGACCTCCTGGGTGGGTACCCTGAAGAGCGACGTAGCCCAGGAGAGACGAAGCTCGAGATCAGTTGTTGGCCTTGCCGGGAGAAGGCTCATCAAGGCGGCGGAGGGGCCTGCAAGCCGAGGAGCAGAACGAGGACGGCTCCCACGGGTTTACGGTTTAGGGTTCATGGTACAGGGGTTCAGGGTTTAATTTTCAGGGCCTTAAAAATTACCTATACTACAGTGAAAACCCTGTATAAGAACCCTGTTCGGCGAGAGTAGGGTACCCTAAGGTTCTTAATTTCCATGACATGTGATTTTGCCGTTCGAGCAGCTAGGGTAGGCTCAGGTTCTTAACCACGTTCTTATCCGGACCGAGGTCTCGGGAAATTTCCTTTTGGATTGTAAATTTCCTTGTGGGGGTGGATGGGCCATGGGGGTCTGGAAAATTTAGTTTTCAATTCTAAATTCCACAGCTCCTCGAAAGGACTCGGGGCAGAGGGCATGGCCAGAGACCCCCCGAAAATTTACTTTTGGATTCTAAATTTCCGTGGGGCGGATGGGCCATGGGGGTCTGGAAAATTTAGTTTTCAATTCTAAATTTCCACAGCTCCTCGAAAGGACTCGGGGCAGAGGGCATGGCCAGAGACCCCCCAGAATTTACTTTTGGATTCTAAATTTCCTTGTGGGGGTGGATGGGCCATGGGCCATGGGTGTGGCTTGGGCCGGGGACCAGGAGGCTGGTGTGGAAAATTTAGATTTCAATTCTAAATTTCCACAGTTTGGTGGCAAGGGGCTCTGTTTCAGTGGAATACGAGCTGCGGGCAGGCAGCCCGCAGCGGCATGACACCCCCGGGGATTGAAACAAAGACCTCCCCCTGCAGGGCCTATGCAGAACCACTGCGCTACAGGGGAATTGTTTTAGCACTGTTTTGTTTCCCATAAACTGGGTGAGATGTTTTTGTGGTCTGGAGGAAGGCCGGAAATTTACTTTCGGATTCTAAATTTCCTGATGCCGTTTGTGTGGGTCAGAACTCCAATCCTTGAGCCCCAAAATGCCACAGCTAGATCAGCTTACCCTCACCCCTATACCCTAAAACCCTAATTGGAGGGAGGAGCAGTATAGTCGTAGTCGTAGCAGTGCTACTGCGGGGAAGCACCGCGCTCAGGGTCTGCGTGGTTTCCCGGAGGGTTGGGAAATTTAGATTTCAATTCTAAATTTTCGGATTCTGGCACCCCTGGGAATCGAAACACGAGCAATTACTTCCCGAGCCCATGCACAACCACTGCGCTGCGGCATGAATGCTGTTGTTCAGCCATCATACAATCATTATGTTCAGCCAGAGGGTTTCTTGATGTGGATGGTTGGGAAATTTAGTTTTCGATTCTAAAATTCCTTGGTGAGGGAAAGCACCCAACAAATTAAGAACCTGACCCGAAAAACTAGGGTACCCTAAAGTTCTTAATATTGAGGTAACTTGAATCTGGTGAATTCCGCCTTGGGTAGGGGCTCAGGTTCTTAAACAGTGGGTTCTTATACAGTATTTTCACTGTATTTCGGGCTCCTTAAAGTTATAATTATAGTGTAATGGGCCTCTATTTTAGGGTTCAATATACAGGGCTTGAGGGTTTAACATCGGGGCCGTAAAAATTACCTATGCTGTTTTAGTGGTTACGTACTGTAAGTAGAGTATAATGGGCCCCAAAACCATAGTCTGACCATAAAGGCCCCTACATATTAGGACTCCTGGTACATGGGTTTAGGGTTTGGGGAAAGAAAAATGAGCTAGAGGTTATACCAAGCCAAACCATTCCAGCAGCCGGGGTAGATTCAGGGATGACCCAACGCTCAACATCAAATATGTTTGCAAGTGTGGCTGGGAGCTGGCGCAACACTGCAACACAGCTTTGGATGGCATTCCGCAATGTGCCAGTGTATAGAATCCAAAATGAACCCCAACACCCTTTCAAGCCGGCTGTAAAGAATGAAGGGATGGTAGCGAGCAGAGTATCCTCTTGGACACCCCGTAAAACTTACAACAATGTAGACTCAACGCATATTCTAATCACTCTCAGGGCCCTCAAAGTGCTTATGGAACCCTGCCAGATCCGTTAAAACTCCTTTAGAATTCCTTGTCGAAACAACCCTTAAGGAGTTCTTTTCTAGCTACGAAGGCCCTATAGATTATCCTTTCAAGCACCCCTAAAGTACACATCTAGGATCCTTAAAGGGACCCTTAAGGAAACCCGGAAACCCTTGGGAAAACCTTGTCGAGGTCGGTTCCACGCCATCAAACGACCAACGTATCTCTTCGCAGAGCTCTGGTAGGCTGGCATCCGATGCGAGCTTCTGGGTTGCCCTTAAGACACTTAGTTTAAGCTCTATCTGAATGGCGATATATAGTACAAATCCCTTTTATAGTTGAAGCTCCCGTACTGGGCATATGTAGTAGGAATTCCTTATTTTATTAGTAACTTAGTGGAAGCTCCCATATTGGGGATATACGGTAGGAATTGCTTTTTACAGCAGCGTAATTTTAAGCTCCCAAAATGGCGATATGTAGTAAATTTATCTGGGATTCGTTCTAATAGTAAATCATGTTAAGTTTCTTGATCGCAACCCAGGCTTGGGAAACACGGGACACATCTCCCGCTCGCTGGTGGCCTGGCGGCAGACTGTTTAGGATATAGCCCTAAGGCCCTAAGGGTTAAAAGATGTCAAAAGTATCGATACGTGAATTCAGGATTGTACGTTGTAGACTCGTATTTGGAGGGGAGTGTTTGATTCTTCGATGCTTGGATCCTCAAGCTGGGTTTGTATGTCGTGGATGTATGCAAAAATGCGGTGGGTCTACGCCTACGCCAGACTGCAAACTGTGGTATAGATACACTGCAGAATGCAGTGTTTTTTTTCCAGTGTCAACTTGTTCAGGTACATTTGTGGTCCTGACCAGAACCATTGTGAGAAGCTTCCACCCTCTCCGAGTCCCGCACGAGAGCCATGATCCCGTGGACATCTTGGCAACCCCATCCTGACTCGATGCCATTCTAATTTTCGATCCTAAGCTATCCTAAGCTGAAACCTTCGACCTAAACACTAAACCCCATATCTTAAACCTTCGATGCGAACAGCCGAAGGTGCAGTGGGGCGGCTTTCAACGTCTCCGCGATTCTGTGGTCCCGGGACCCGGAACCCTTATCTTCGTGAACCCCAAGGACCGGCAAGCATTTGACAATTTAGACTTTCCAAGGAGTGGCCAGAGATACTGTAGTGAGGCAGAGAGAGAGAGAGAGAGAGAGAGAGAGAGAGAGAGAGAGAGAGAGAGAGACCGAGACCGAGACCGAGACCGAGACAGAGACAGAGACAGAGAGAGAGAGAGAGGGAGAGACTGATAGAGAGAGAGAGAGAGAGAGAGAGACAGAGAGAGAGAGAGAGAGAGAGAGAGAGAGAGAGAGAGCGAGGGAGGGGAGGAGGGAGGGAGGGAGGGAGGGAGCGGGGGGGGAGAGAAAGAGACAGACAGACAACCAGACAGACAGGCAGGCAGGCAGGCAGGCATGCAGACAGACAGACAGAATTGTCAGGGTTCGAAGTCTAAGCCGCAAGTTGATTCAGCTACTTGCACTGTTGGACGTGCTTGGACTTGCTGCAGCTCATGCTTTGGGTACGAATTCTTCGACAGAGCCGATCAAAAGGCCTTACTCCAAGCTTGTAGCTGTGAACCCCACGCAATCCCCAAGTCCCGCCCCGAAACCCAAACCCATCAAACCTTAAACCCTGAACTCTACTACAGGGGCATAAATCAGTACCTATACTATTTTTCCAGGGCTCCGTATTATAACAGTAGTACAACGGGCCCCAAAACCCTATTCTAATTATTACGGCCCCGATTATTACAGCCTTCTCAAACTCTTAGCCTGGGAGACAGAGCCTTTGCAATGACTTGCTGCAGGATCACCCGAGCGGCAATGCCACCAAGCGCGCCTTGAGGCAGCGTGGGCTCCAATAAAGCATGGAACCAATATGTACTTGGAGGGGCAGAGGACTTGTAAGTCGCATAACTCCATTTAGGGCACTTAATTACAACTCTACTTATAACCCACTTACTAAGTCCCCTGCCCCTCCAAGTACTCATTGCCAAGCTGCATTTGCGCCCTAATCCCTAAACCCAAGCCACAACCCCTCATGTAATTGAGTCCAGCTTCGTGCCTGAAACCCAGTCATCCCGAAGCCATCACCCTGTAAGTAAGTTCGCCTGCACCTTCGCTAGGGCACCGGGTGGCTAGATACTAAGTAGGTTACTGGGTTGCATATATAGTGTCCTGTGAGGCACATATGGAGCCATAGACGCTTAGACTTGCGGTGTGTAGACACTTAGACAAAAACCCTCAATACAGAACTCATGGAACTCTCATACTACCCCTCCGGACCCTATACTACCATTATCGATGCTTTGAAGGATCCTTTACGGAACCTCTGAACCCCAAACCCAAACTCCACACCGCAAACCCCAAACCCCAAACCCTACTTGGAGCGGCAGGGGACTTAGTAAGTGGTTATAAGTAGAGTTATAAGTACCCTAAATGGAGTTACCCCAATTATACCCCTACTTATAAACGACTTACTAAGTCCCCTGCCCCTCCAAGTATACCCGATAAGTCCTAACCCTAAACCCCAAACCCCACCTAAACCCTAGACCCTAAATCCTAAACCCTAAACCCTAAATCCTAAACCCTAAATCCTAAACCCTAAACCCTAAATCCTAAACCCTAAATCCTAAACCCTAAACCCTATGTTCTGAAACCCTCCCTTCTCCCAGGCGCCAGAGACTGCAGGACTCCCACACAGAACATGCGGACGCATGGTCGCATGCGGTGCCTTGGGCAGTTTACAGGAACTCTCAGGATTGGTTTTAGGGTTTGGGGTTTAGGGTTTGGGGTGTAGGAGTTAAAGGGTTTATAGGGTTTATAGGGTTTAGGGTTTATAGGGTTTCAGGGTTTTTAGAGTTTAGGATTAGATTTATAGCCCTACCCATAGGCTCCATAGTAGTGAGTAGCTCCGCTTTGGGATTTCCTTATAAGATTCTAAGCATGAACCCCAAAACGGAACTACCATGTAGCTTATGGGTAGTGCTAAAAAGAGCCCAAAGCTTCATGTAGTATGGTCGTTGAGCCCAAAGGCCTTTAACATATGAGGCCTGAGAGCCTAAGGGTAGGGTTTATTGGGCTTCAGGATTTTTGGGCTCTAGGATGTAGGGTTTTGGTTTTGAGGGTCTGGGGAGTTTAGAATTTAGGGTTTGAGGCTTTACCTAATACTTAGGTCCGGGCATAGGGCATAGGTGATAAGAGTTTGTGTGGTGCGACCTCAAAAGAAGCTGGAAGTTTGAGCACCGGCACGAACACCCCAACTTCCGGCCTAGTTCAGGTTTGTGGATGCATGGCCCCACCCTGCACCCATGACCACCATTCGGGATTTAAGCCCATCAAATCAAAGCGTTGTGAAAACGTGACATCGATCCTCCAGCTGACCCAAACCCTAAAGCCCTAAACCCTACCGACATCCCACAGCCCTTAACCTAAATCAGTATCGCAATTTTCTGACTGGTACGTTTGATTCATTGATACCGCCGCAAGCTTGGTATCCTGGGGTTCGGGGTCGGAAGGACATGCACGTAGAGAACCCTCAACCCTATCTTTGAGCTTAGGGTGAAGCCATGTTAACCTCAAGCCCTAAACCCCAATCTCTATACCATGGGGGGTTCGGGTTAAATGTCAAACCCCACACCCCCATAGGCTCGGGATGTTCACAACGATCTACACGGAGGCGAGCAGCAACCGAATTCAAGCAGATCTTCGCCAGGAGGTGCTCCAGGACTTTCATCATCTGAGTGTTTCAGGGTTTGGGGGCTGAAATGTGCTGCGGACTTGCTTGGTTTAGGCGTCTTTCGTTGATCTTGTGCTGTTTGCTGCATGGTTACCTTTTCATTGCTCTTGTTTTGGATCCCGGCAGTTCTTTTCAACTTCTTTCTAAAGCCTCTGAGGCCCACACCCAATCCTTAAGCCTGCACTGCAAGCCATTGCTCCTTTGGATGCCGACGTGGGGATCGGAACTAATGGGGGTTTGAAAGTGTGGGGCCTCTCTGCCCTTCTCCTGCTACCTTAAAGCTGAGCCTGAAATTCTCCAAAACCGAACGCTCACCCGGGCCCCAAAAGCCCCAGCACCACTCTGGAACCCTTGAAGATCCCGGATAGTACTCTCTAGAAGCCTTGCGTTATGGTACCCTTACAGAACCCTTATAAACGGACCTAGGAGTAGCCGGACGGCAGGAGATCCGGAAGGCGACATCCGAAGTCGAGGCAGACAGCACTGCAAACAAGGGTTGGCTAAGGGGTCCAAGTAAGCAACTACCCTCTAATGGATCCCAAATACCCACGATTAAGGGCCACAAGGGCTCCATTAAGGGGCACTTGGTGGTCGTGGCATAGGGTTTCCTTTAAGGGTTTCCTGCACGGCCTCCTTCAAGGGCTTACTAGGAGTTCTATAGGGGTTTGTACGTAGAATCTTTATGCTCTCTTCGAGAGAAACATTTGGCACTATTTACCTATATAGGTTATTGTAGGCGCAGAGATTGCGACGGCAGTTCAAAGTTGTTTGCATATGCATACACATACATGTGTATATATATATATATATGTATACATATGTCTACCATTGTATATGTATGTATGTGTATGTAACCTCTGCTTCTTGGCACGGGGTGATAGAGCATAAACGTTCAACGCACCTGGGGTTCTAGGCTCTTGGAGTTTGGCGTCTCAGGCTTCAGGATGTAGGGTTGTGGTTTAGGGTTTAGGGTTTAGGGTTTAGGGTTTAGGGGTTGAGGGTTTAGGGTTTAGGGGTTTAGGGTTTAGGGTTTAGGGTTTGGTTGAGGGCGTTTGGACCTAGGGGCGGGGGGATTAATGAGGCGTTGCCGGGTATGGTGAAAAACCCGGGGGTTTGGGGTTACGTGACCCTGGGCCGAGCCAACATAGAAGGACGCATAGTCAGTCCTCAGGCTTTATATTATTTTTTATACATGATTCAGAAGCCCCCGCCCGAAAAAAAAAAAAAACGAAGCACTATTGCAGTTATTCGGCACATCCGCCCTAGCTTACTTGGGCGATGCCTCTTGTTAGAGGCCTCAGGCTGTCGACCCCTGTGCTGATGTATAGGATGCCTAAACTATATATGCCTTCATCCACTTCTGCGTTCAAGGTGAAGGTCAGAAGACCCGAACCACCAGATAGTGTTGTAGCGTCTTTGACTTTGGCATGGTGTTCGTTACAATATCGCATTCGAGTCATGACTATTAGAGCGCCCTCTGCGCGCAGGTTCGATGCCGTTGTATACAGTAATCTCGCGGTGCCAGACCCCCAACCCAAAGCCCATTGCAAACCCTAAAGCCCTAAACCCCAACAGCCCGCACCCTCAAGCCTAAACACCCTAAGCCTTAAAAGCCTCAACCTAACCGTCTGAAAACGTCTTAAATGCTTAAGTCGAAACAAACTCTGAACAGGAATCCGTCCATTTGGAGCCGGAGGAGGACCGATGTGATTCAAAGCACGAAAACTACAGGTATCGGCGTTGGGGTTGTGTATGGAGTCTATCGTTTATAGGGTAGAGGGTGGGTTCGTTCTGCGAAGTTTAGGAGGCTTATCCTGCTTAGAACTTGTAGGGTCTGTGCTTTAGGGCTGGTAGGGTCTGTACTCTAGTAGTGCTTGAAGGGTGCACGAAAATTCCTACCCAAGGCCCTGAACCTGAGTAATGCGGGAAGCTGATTAATATGAGGGCCTAAATAATTACCAATACGATTATGGGGTTCCTCATTACAAGTATAGTATAATGGGCCCAGATACTATTTGGGGGCTCCTTATTATGATCGTTATTATAGTATAATGCATCCCCAAACCCTTTTCCTATTATTAAGGCCCTATAGTAGGAACCTGATTGGCGGCACGAGGCCTTGGAAGAGGAGACCACAGCTGGCATGGCTCCCTGGGGCAACTTCAGCTTCGACCCAGGCTCCTCGCTTTACGCTATCAGCAAATTTGGATCTTCTGGTTTCTTTAGCGGGATTGGGGACTCAAGGCTTAAGTTTATAAGTTATTGCTGTTAGGCTTTCCTTCACCGAAGAGTGTGGCGCACAGCTGTGGGGTTCTACTGTGCAAAGTGAAGAGCGCTGGTCAAGGAAGCCGCGTGGCGCGCCTGCCGCCATGTTTTCCGAAACGCGAATCTCGCTGTGGCGCTGCGCAGATTTTCGCTCACATCCTTGTATTTACACACGATCCTTGAGGTCGCACCCCCCCCGAAAAGCCCGAATCCTGAAATTCCAGAACTCTGGCCTCGAAAATCTGGGGGAAGCATGTTGGAGGTCCTTTTGAATGCATCCGTGCTTCTGAATCCTGCGAGTATTTTGGAGAAAGAAGTTTGGCCGTCTAGCTCCTGAATCTGCCCCCTAAACCCTAAACCCAGACCCCTAAACCGTCTCGGGTGAGCATGTTCAGCCACTGTGCCGGTGGTGTTGCGTTGGTCTCCTGGTTGTATTTGGGGATTTCCTAGTGCTCTCCCGTGGTATCCTGGGGCTCACATGCGCTTACAGGAATGTCTTCGGGACTAGTACGGCCCGACGACGGCGACGGCGACGACTAGTACTACTCTGCGACTCCTGTGCTAGATCACTACTTCTGTATCGCGACGGCTGAAGATCTGACTATACTGATCGTACTACATCTGCTGATGCCACACCATTATGTTACTGTCGCCAACTATCTCACTGACGATTCAGAAAACACGCCGTAGTTGTTATAGATATCCGCAATCACCACGGTCGACGTCATCGCCATCATCGTCACCACCACCATTAGCATCACCACAATCATTACGATCACCAGCATGGATGGGCTAGGGCCGACGAGATTGTTAGCATGTTTTGTTGTTTACCTCAGTCTCCTTCCTTCGCCAATGTAAGATTGTATTCATCACGACCGTTTACATAATTAGTACTCTTGTGATGAGCCGGAGGTTTGTTCTCTGCTTGCTGTTGAAATCGCAGAGGTCATCTTCAACGCCCTCCCTCGTCAGATCTACCGCGGGAAGCTTCCGTCCGCCCGTTCTGGCCTTATCGGAATCCTCAGCCATTGGGAGCCCCGGTGCTGGCTTCGGCCAGTGCTCACTGGGGAGGTTTTGCAGTACAGTTCGCTGGACACGCAGACTCCCCAGATGAGGAAGAGCGCGAGGACCCCGGAAACGACAAGACTTAGCTACGTCTGCGTTCCATATCTTCAAACTATGAGAGCACCACAGCGAAACCTTCTGGTCTACAGCCAACATCTGCAGAGAAGAAGTTGGCACCTGTTTGATACAATGTCAGGGGGCACTGGCGCCAATACAGCGAAAAAACGCTGGAGGCGCAGCTTCTATCGAAGGGTAAAAGGAGGGACCCTTAGTAAGGACCCCTAGGTATATACCCTTAATATAGCTATTATATACCCATTATATAGCCCATTGTAGGGATTCAGGGTCCCCATTAAGGATCCCTCCTTTTCCCGTTTGGTTCTACCAGGTAGAGGACTGCAGTTACTAGGGTCATAATTAAGGTAACTATACTTATAAGTGCTTATAACCCCAATTAAAGGACTTATAACCCTAGTTACTAAATCCCATGATCCTCCAAGCAGCTTCTAACACGAGGACTGGTAGTCTCTTCGGTGCCGCGACGCGAGAAGAGCCTCTGAGTCCCTTCTTTGGGCGCCTGGTGTACTTGGAGGAGCAGGGGCCTTAGTAATGGTTCTTAAAGGGCTCCTTATATGGATCTATAGGGTTCCTTAAAGGGATCCATGGGGTTTAGGGTTTAGGGGTTTACTTGGAGGGGCAGGGGCCTTGGTAAGTCGGGTTTTGAGTAGGGTTATATTTGGGGTAACTCCATTTAATACTTATAACTCTACTTAAAACCCTACTTACTAAGTCCCCTGCCCCTCCAAGTAGTGTCCCAGGTTGGTGGGAAACTCGCCGGGTGCCATTGCCTGGTGGCTGGGATAGCACGAAGTTCATGGCGCTGATCATGTCCGCCACTGTGGAGGCTGCACTGGCTTCCGTTCAAACTTCCGCGAAGACGACAGATTTGGTGCTCGAGTCGGAAACCCTAAACTCTAAACCCCTGAACTAAACCCTAAAACCCTAAACCCGTAAACCCTAAAGCGGACATTCGCTCAGCCTGGAAGGTCACTGCAAGACCTCGTACATCCTTGCGGGGAGTTGTGCAAAGTCTGAGAAGATGTTCGGATGCAGCCGAAAGCCCAAGCCCGAAGACCCCAAGCTCATACGGCTGGTTGTCAAAATGATGGTCCCTTTGGGTCCTTATTATAGTACGGTGCCTAATATTTAGGGTGCCCCAAAAAGGGGCCATATCTTTGACAAAAAAAGCCATACATTAAATGCATGCTACACGAAGGATCTTCTTGTAGTCGAAAGTAACGACGTCCTTCCCCTAAGCTTTCACGTGCAGGAATTGATAGTGCAAGCAGACATTTCAGGTTCGGAATGTAACCGCTTGTCCATGACACGGAAAAACTGATAGCGTAATACATATACAATATATGCATAGAGATGTTATGCGGTATGGTTATGACTGAAGTGAGTGCTTCTTGAGGCACCTACCACTCCGCCTTAATCTGCGAGTCCTGCATTTCCCGAGTGGAGTTTTTCTCGGCCGTTGGAGGTCGGCACAAGGCGGCAGCGAAGGCTTCCCGAAGGGAGAAACAAAGTGAGCGCTGTGTCAGTACCCTACTTAGTAAGGGTTCTTAAAGGGCTCCTTATAGGGATCAACTATATAGAGGGATCTATGGGGTTTAGGGTTTAGGGTCTACTTGGAGGGGCAGGCGACTTAGTAAGTAGGTTATAAGTAGAGTTATATAAGTACTCTAAATGGAGTTACCCCAGTTATAACCCTACTTATCAACGACTTACTAAGTCCCCTGCCCCCCTTTGAGGGCCCAGCCAGTCCCCAGACCCTAAACACTCCAACCCTGTGACCCTGTGAAGCCCGCATAAAACGATATAAAGCCGACGATCCTAAACCTTAATTTAACCTTAAGGACAAGCCACAACAGCCTCTAAAAGTCAAAGAACCTTCGAAGATCGATCAAAGAAGCTGTTGACACCCGAAAAGCTTTTCAGCATGTCAAAAAATCAAGCAAACGTTTCCAACGCCTTGTCAGGGATCTTTGATCACCCCAAAACAGATTCCACAGCACCTTGCCAACATCCATCAAAATCTATCAGTATCCTAAGTTCATATAGGTTCTTGAACGCGCAGTTCTCCTAACTAGGCAGGGCCCCAACAATAGCACGGCACCCTTATAAACAGACCCTAATTTAGAGAGCTACTCATATAGAACCTTTCTAGAAACCCCACAGAGACACTTATAGATGCCTTCAAAGGCCCGAAAAGGGACCCGGCCTGATTTAGAGAACTACCCATACAGAACCCTTGCTCCTTAGATCCCTTTAAGGAGCCCTAAAGAGGGGCCCTAACCCCTATACCCTAAACCCTCCGTGTTCCTTGCCTGCTGCTTAGGCCGCAGGAGGGATGTCAGCTTCTTGTCTGATGTGTCCGCGATAAACCCTAAACCCTATACCCTAAATCCTACTTGGAAGGGCGTAAGTAGGGTTATAAGTAGGGTTATAATTGGGGTAAGTCCACTTAGGGTACTTTTAAGTCTACTTATAACCATACGTACTAAGTCCCCTGCCCCTCCAAGTAAACCCTATACCCTAAACCCAGGCTCACCCTGTCTCGTCTTGCGGAGCAGAAAGGGCCACTACACGTGCAAAAAAGACCTAAACCCAATACCCTAATACCCTAAACCCTATACCCCAAGCGCTAAACCCTAATACCCTAAACCCTAATACCCTTAACCCTAAACGCTAAACCCTTAACCTATAAACCCTAAACCCCTGCACCCTAAACCCTAACCCCTAAACCCTAGAACCCTAACATACCCTAAACCCCAAACACCTAAACCCTAAACCCTTAAACCCCAACCCCTAAACCCTAAACCCTAACTTAACCCTAATCGAAGCCCAGCATTGGTCCAGGCTGAGGAGCTAAGACGACACGAGGAAGAGGAGCGTGCCAGGCCCCGACAATACTGGGCAGTATGAAGCCCTAGGGATCTAAGGACTCATATTGGGTTCCTTTAAAGGGATATATAAGGGCTCCTTTAAAGGGATCCACATATGAAGGCTTTTGGGCCCAAAGACCATACTATATAAGGCTTTTGTGCTACTGTGATGCCCAGGGTATGAAGGAGACCCCTTAAAGGGGACCCTTCTGAACTCTACTTCTGGCTCTCTTAAAAGGGATTTTATCCGCGTATATGCTCAAGCTGCCCACAAGATGCTTGTTGGTTTGGGTTGCCACTACAGGGATCTCGGCTTTGACGTTGACGGCACGTGGCTGTGCAAAGTTGCAGCTTTCTCTGTTTCTTGGCGACATCTTCGTACCTGGTGGATGATTAGAGTCACAGGTTGCTGGCCGTCTAACCTATATGCTCCTGAGAGTCCAGCAGCCAGCCTTCCCGTATGCCCCCGTTGTGGAGCTGCGGACGTAGTCATTTCGCATGCATGGTTGTGCCCTCTCCTGCCCCTTGAGGGACTGAGGCCCAGCTCGGGATGGACTGGCGCTCTGCTTGACAAAAGCGGTTCAAGCCTTGAAGTCGCTTCAAAGGTCACCTTTGTGGGATGTTGCGTGCATGACCTTCTCAGCAAGGTGCATTGGAGGCGTCCTCTGGATGCTGAAGATGACGAAGAAAGAGTTAGCCAGTGGCGTCGGGATTTCTGCCAGACTTGTGATGAAGCCGATCCCTGAGAAAAGCGAGCTTCCTGCACCGACCTGTCGGGCTTCGCCCCGAGGGTATCGCGCAGTTAGCATGCCCCAGTGCACAGTGAGGTAAGCTCCCTTGCACTCAGGCCGTTGACAGATTACAGATTACAGATTACAGGGTCCTCTATCCCCAAGGGTCCCATTTTCCCCCTAGTCCTAATTCGTCGACGAAAAGTCGGGAAGTGCTGGTCGAAAGGATGTTCTAGGCTTTGTGGCTTTGTAGTTGGGGTTTTTGTTCTTTGTGGCTCCTTTGTAAGGTTTAATACGGTTTCATGGAATCTGTATAGGTTGCAGCAGGATTTATAGTTGCTCTGCGAGCGGGTTTTGTAATGATTTCACAGGCCTCTTTGCCCACACTGGTTCAAGTAACAAAAACAGAACTTGCTTTCCTTACCAAGGTATCCTAGTCGAAGTCCTTGTCAGTTAACACGAGCACAGTATTCGTTGAAGCTTGCGAGCCCTGGGCCTAGAAAGGGACGTTGGGGTTAAGACTTGGGTGACTTGGGTCTTCGAATCTGGTATCAGGATCAAACGCTTACAGTAGAAGCCCAAAAGTTGGAAACCCAATGGCCTCATTCCTTAAGAGCAATATATAGGGAACCCCAGCACTATTTGGCCTTATTCCGGTTTTCCAACTTTATCTAATTTTCGGAAACTCTAAACCCTAAACCCTTACAGATCCCTTTACGGAACCCTTAAGGAGTCTACTGTCAGGGCGTTTCGGTTTTCATGATTTCAGGACTTAGAGAATCGGCTCGGAGTTTAAGGGCTTCGGACTTCGCGCCTTGGGGTTCAAGCCTTGAGCGGCTTTGGGTTTAGGGGTTTTAGGGGTTTCGGGTTCAGGGTTTAGGGGTTTAGGGTTTCGGGTTCAGGGTTTGGGGTTTAGGGTTTAGGGTTTCGGGTTCAGGGTTTGGGGTTTAGGGTTCAGGGTTTATAGGGGTTTAGGGTTTGGGGCCAGTGGAATGTGGAGTTCAAACCAGAGAAACATTAGGAAGGCTCATGGACCCAAACCGACAGCAGAGCAAATGTTGCGACTGGAACTAAACTATTATAGGGGCCTTTATCATTACCTATACCATTCTGGGGGTTTCTTATTATCATCATATTATAAGGGGGCCCAAAACCCTATTCTAATTATTAAGGCCCCTAGACTAAGCGTCAGGATCTCAGAGCTTTTCACACCAAGCTTTAAAAGGTTGAACCTGGACCTTAACCTTGGCAGCCTTGTCCTCAGCAAACCCCAAACCCTACATGTCACTGAACCCCAACCGTCAACCCCTAAACACTAAACCAGAAGCCTAAACACCCCAAGCCTCCTCACCCCAAGGCTCTAAACCCTAAACTAAACCCTAATCCATAACTCCAAAGCCAGGCTTG